ATTAAGGTAAAAGAGAAGAAAAACAAAGAGATTTTACATAAAATAGAAGAAAAAGAAAAAGAATTGATAAAAACATTAAATAAAGAAATAGTAAAGCAGGAGGTAAAATTATTACAATCACAATATTCAATGATAATCAATGAGGAAATAGCATGGAAAATAAAAGAAAAAACAAAAAGTCCAGTCGTGAACGACTCTAGGGTTGCTTTACTGGCCAAGGGAGCCGACGTTTGTCCGCAGACAGTTTTTCCAGGTCATTTGGCCAGCATGACTAAGCTGCTTCTGGCAAAACCAGAGCAGTGCACGGAAACACCATTTATCTTCCTGCCGGAGCGGTACCTATTTATCTACTTGCACTTTGACGTGCTTTCGAACTGTTAGGTTAGCAGGAGCTGGGACCAAGCAATGGGAGCTCACCCCGTCGTGGGGATTCGAACCACTGACCTTTCGATCGACAAGCCCTAGGCTCATTGGTTTAGACCACAGTGCCACCTGTGTCCTGATAGGTCCTTGTAAAATCTTTAGGAAAAATCTAGCAGAGAGTCTGTGGGTTTTGATAAACAAGAAATGGCAATTGGTGCTATCTCAAAATAGACTAGTTCTATCAAGCTACCCTAAGCCTTTGGGAATCTTGTCACAAGAGGAGCGAAAAGCTCACCTCTGGAGTTTTTGGAGAGTATACATGCCTGGTGTTCTTAAGAACACTACAGATTTAGAACATGTGGAAGATCTATACTTGGATGGCTTCCATGCCAGGGTGGGGGCCACATTTTGAGACTGGAGACTTGCGAAGATGGTGTATAAGCACAGACGATATCTTAGGAGGAGGGGTGTATTAGTTTCCTGATATTTCAAAAATGTGGCATGACTAGCTCCTCTGCTTCCACATACAGATTTGGTCCCCATGCAACCCCTGACAGAGGCCAATGTTAGATTTCTGTTTATGCCACTGTGCAGTTTCTGGAGTCACAAGACTCTGTTTACATTCCAGACTGTTGGAAGTCTCACGGGAGATGGATGTTGATGTTTCTGGTTTCCTGTTTCTTTGTCCCAGTTGGTTCTGTGCTCTCACAGCGAGAGGATGTATATTCTTTTCTGTCTGCGTAGTTAGAAATAAAACGTAGCAATGTAGCTCATATATTTCTTGTCCTTCTGCTGCTGTTTGTACACTCTGCGCTATGGGAACGTGCCTGGAGCCTCATCAAAGGCTTAGGTCATTAATCACGTCGGAGGAGGAGATTCCGAAGACTCGAGCTGGAGGAGTAGCTCAGTCGAACGGAATTCCAACAGCGGATACAGCCACAACATCTGCCTGGCTTGTGATGAGAGAGCTCAAAGATTGTGGACAGGGCTCTCCACACAAAGCACCTAGCATGGGGGCACCTACATGTAATATCTACTCTGCTATTTCCTGCCCATGCTCTGGGGTTGCAGTTTTCAGGCTTGGAGACAGGACGTTGACTGGTTTTTGTACCAAGTTCTGTCAGTTATCCCCACTGAGTTCAATGGGATCTACTCTGAGGTCACTACTGTGTAGACCATTCCAAGCTTACAAGTGGGGTGAGGAGCATACAGAAGAAATTGGAATCACTGGAGATGTTTAGAAATTGGGCCTCTCTTGGGAAGGGGCTGCCCCATTTGTGCTTCTCCAGGGGCAGGAGAATATCTAGGGCAAGAGAATCCCTGCAGGGCCTCTGAGGCCCCTTTGCTTCTTCCTCTCTCCCAGGACCCTGCAGCTTGTTTTCGCTTCTTGGTTTCTCAGGAAGGATGAAAGAGACGGATCCTGCAAAGCTCATAAGGATGGAAGGGGGAAGATGGATGGTTGACCTGGTCAGGTTGTCTCCTGCATCCCTTCGCACAACCTCTGAGTGTTCCCTCCCAGGGACCTCTGAGAGATCTGGTGAGTTCCAGGGGAGTGGAGATGGGGACATGGATGGAACCGGAGAGGTATTGGGGCTTGCTTGGGGGTCACCATTTCGGGCTCCTCCACCTGCCTGCCTGTGCCTTTGACATCTGCAGGCAATTTGAGCTAGGAATACATCACAGCTCTCCGACCACCGCGATGTATTGGCAGCTCAAAATGTCTAAAACCAGCACCGTGATTGAATGCTCTACAATGTCAGACAACTTACCGATCCTTCAGGCAGCACTAGAAGTCATGATTCTTGAAAGTAACCTGATCCTGGGCTTCCGATTTCTCTGCGAAGGGAAATGGCAAGGCGGTGTGAGTCGTCTGTCTAAAAGAGGGACTTTTGAGTAGTGGGGGTGAGTGCCAGGGTTAGATACCCCCCAAAAGTGCCCTACAGGTAGTGGGGTGTTGAGGGGACCAGCCGGGTGTGAAGAGGCTTGCCGCGCTTGCCAGAGCCCCGACGCTGATTTGGGCAAATCTGTCATAAAACCTATGGACACCACCTCCCAGGGTCTTCCCAGTGTGGGTAAGGGTTCCAGTAACCCTGCAGGGGCCGCCCTCTCCCCCTTTGCCCTCTGGCAGCGGCCGCACCACCGTACGTACTCCCGTACATCTTCCCTTACCCTTGGCCACCAGAACTGCCTGGTGACAAGCAGCATGGTCTTGTGCTGACCAAAGTGCCCCGCTATTGGGTTGTCGTGGAGTTGTTTGAGTACCCTTCCCCTCAAGGTCTCCCCCGGTACGTACAGCGCTCCCTTATAGTACAGTACCCCTTCCTTTTCCTCAAACTCTCCATGGTTTTCGATTCCTTCCCGTAGTTCCCTGATTTTAGTTTGGGCGAACTCGTCGTCCCTGGTGAGACTGGCTAGTTCTCATTTCCCAACCAACACTCCCCCACACACCCATCTGTCCTTGGGAATACGTGTCGGGCTTCTGGTGGTCCCTCTCCTTCCATGTACTCCGGCTTCCGGGAGAGAGCATCAGCTCTAACATTCTCCTCTCCCGGCACATACCGGATCTCGAAGGAAAACTTGGAGAACTCTTGTGCCCATCGAATCTGTCTCTGGTTGAGTACTCGCGCAGTCCTCCAGTACTCCAAGTTCTTGTGATCCGTGCAAACCTGGATCTTGTGCCGCGCCCCTATTAACAGATGTCTCCATCGGTGAAACGCTGCATAGATAGCTAGCAGTTCGTGGTCATACACCGTGTAGTTCTGCTCCGACTTGCTCAGCTTCCTCGAGAAAAAGGCGCACGGCCTCCAGTCTTGCTGAGTTCCTGGCTGCAAAAGTACGGCTCCTATGGCCCGGTTTGACGCGTCGGTCTCTAGCCTCATGGGCTTCTCCAGATCCACGTGCAGGAGCTGCTCTTCCGACGTGAACGCTTTCTTCAGGCTTTCAAAGGATTGCTGGGCCCCTTCCGTCCAGACGAACTTGTTTTTGCTACTGAGACAATCTGTGATGGGTGCTGTTAAATGGGCGAAGTTCTTGATGAACTTCCTGTAGAAGTTGCTGAACCGTAGGAACCGGGTCTTGGGGGCCTTCCATTCCAGTACCGCCTGTACATTGCTGGGGTCCATAGCTAGGCCCTTGTCTGACAACTTGTACCCCAGAAACTCGACCTCCCTTGTGTGAAATTGGCATTTTTCCAGCTTGACCCACAACTGGTGCTTCTGCAGTCTCTTTAGCACTTCCCTGACGTCTCTGACATGTTGCTTCTCATTGTCAGAATAGATTAAGACGTCGTCCAAGAAGGCTACGCAGTTTTTGTACAGCAGGGACCCCAACACGTGGTACATGAAAGCTTGGAAGCAGGTGGAGCCCGACTGTAATCCGAAGGGCATAACTAAGTACTCAAAGGCTCCCAGGGGGGTGAACATGGTGGTTTTCCATTCGTCCCCCTCCCTCATCCTGATCAAATTGTATGCTCCCCTGAGGTCCAGCTTGGTAAAAATTTCCCCCTGCCTCACCCATGTTAAAATGTCGTCAATCCTGGGCATTGGGAAGGTCATGGGTTTTGATACAAGGTTCAAGGCCCTAAAATCTACGACTAATCTGGGCTGATTAGTATCCTTTTTGTCCACAAAGAACACCGGACTGCCCCCCACCGCCTTTGATTCTCTTATGAAACCTCTTTTCAGGTTCTTGTCAATAAATTCCCGCAACTCCTGCATCTCCCTGTCCGACATGGCATACTGTTTACCCACCGGCAGCTGAGACCCTGGGAGTAGGTTGATTTGACAGTCAAAGGGCCTATGGGGGTGTAGTCTATCCGCCTCCTTCTCACTGAAGACCTCCTGCAGGTCAGCATATTGAGGTGGCACCTTCCCTTTTGGCTCCACAGCCACTCCAGCCACCCTGGCCACTGTCATCCTTGGGGTTCCCCCCCATACAGTGTTCCAAGCAGTAAGCTGACCCAAAGGTGACTGACCGCTGATGCCATGCCACTACTGGATCATGCAGTGCCAGCCAGCTCATTCCCAGTATTATTGGGGGTCCTGACAGTGTGGCTACGTGAAAGGCAATGGTCTCTGTGTGCCTGGAAACCCTCATTCTCATTGGCGGGGTCTGGTGCGTCACCTCGCCTCCCAGAAGTTCCCTGCCGTCAATGGTTGTCACTTGCAAGGGAAAATCCAGAGGCAGCAGGTGGAGTTGGTGTTCTAGAGCGAAGCTCTTGCTGAAGAAATTGCAGGAACTGCCTGAATCCAGCAGCCCCTTCACCTTGACTGGGTGCCCATTTGGGAGTTCTAGCACCACTTCTATGGCTATAGCTGCCCTGGGAGGGTCTGGTTGGGGCACTTCTATTGGTTGTTGGCTTGGCTGCGGCCCCCGCTGATTGACAGCCAAGCTTGGCCGTTTCCCTGTGCCTGATCCATTTCCCCCTTCCCCTCACAGCCAGCAGCTCCCACCATCCCTTGCCATGCCTTTCTTTGAGGGCAGACCCTGGCAAAATGTCCTGGCCGTTGGCAGAGGAAACACTTCTTGTGAGTTTTCCAATCCTTTCCCTCCCTCTTGCGCCCTTCAGTGGAGTTTGAAACCTCTCTCTCTCTCGCGCGCCATCTATTTCCATTGGCTCAGCCGGCTGGGAAGGCTGCCTCAGTATTTCAGGAATGCGGTAGTCATGGTAACGTTCCCCTCTCCCTTTGCTCTTCTCCTGAGCCCGCGCTTCCTGTCTTGCTCCAATCGCAAGCACAGCCTTGGTCAGCTGGTCCATCGACTGAGGGCGGAGCGCGCGGGAAAGCTCATCCTTGACCGTTGGGGACAACCCCTCCTCAAACAACATCTGAATGGGTTCAGCGTCTGAATGGGTTCAGCGTCCAGATCCCACCCAAGCCAGTGGATTAACATCGCAAAGCGCGACCAGTACTCTCTAACAGATTGGCTCCCCTGCTTGCACCCCATCAATTGCCGTCAAACCACATTTTGCTCCACTTTGCTTGAAAACATTGCATTCATTGCCTGAAAAAATTTCCTGACATCTTTCAAGGCAGCATTTTGCGTTGCCATTAGGGGCCTGATCCATTCCCGCGCCCCATCCTCCAGATGCCCCACAATGTAGGCCACCCTCTCCCCATCATCTGCAAAGTCATCATGCTGCAGTTCCAAAGCGTACTCTATTTCCGTTCGGAACTCGTTGTAGTCCTGGGGCTTCCCCCCAAACTTGTGCACCAGCCCCGGTACCTTCCTTGTGATGGGGGTGGGTCTGACCTTGGTATCCTGAGCCCTCCGTTCTTCCAGCCTCGCCATCAGAAGAGCCACATGCTGTTCTAAATCTCGGTTCCTCTCCACCAGATTCTGCACTCCAGCTGCTCGCTCCGTGGCGCTGGCTTCTCCGGTTTGACTCATTATGCTCCCCTGCCTGTCGCTGCGCACAAGCAACTTCAGGGACTGACGGATTGCTATAATGGCTTTAGGGGTTGCTTGTGCGTAAGTTACCGCCGCTCTGGGCTAGGTTGCCTGGTTAAACCGTTTCTCGCTGGACAGCCATCCACTCCATGGCTGTTCATTCGCTGGCAGAATCCGTCAGTGGGCGTTTCATGAACCTCTTCCAGCAAAGAAATTCTTTGACAACAAGTCGCCACCTACTTTCCCTGCGCGGAAGTCTTCTGCGCAGGGTGGGTGTGGGCAGTGGAGGACCTGTGCTCTCCTCGCTGGTCTCCTGCAAGGAGTCCTGGAGCCTCCTCTCTGCTTCCCCCATCGGCCCCCCTCTATCCCTGGTGTTGCACTGATTTTCTTCCCCAGCCGGTTGTCATGAAAAAGCACCAAGGCAAAAGCCAGCTCCAGATGGCTGGAATGCAAAACAGGATGTTGTGGTTTGCAGATGTACTCTTGGAGAAAAGGTGGAGTCTTTTCTCTGTACTGAGCACCGGATGTTAGCTCAGTGTGTCATCTGACCTGTACTGGAAGTGCAGGGGCGGAGTTGTGGCTCTTCTAATGGAGTCTGAAGGGTACAGACACATTTCTCTGTACTGCTGAATGCCAAGAATAAAGAGACATGTAAATAGACTCCTGTCTGTCTCATTTCCCCTCCCTGGGGGGGAGAGAAGAAGAGGAAAGCAGAGGGTGTGTTTTTCTCACGACTAATGAGAAGAATCGCCGGGTTTGTTTACCTAGCCTGCCGGCAGACGCAGACGGATGGTAAACACAGTATCTCGCTCAATTGCCTCGGGGGAGGCCAGGTACCTCTGCCTGTGAGCCAAGATACTAACACCGGAGACCTGCCTCTCTCCCTGCCTGGCCTCTCTCCAGCATCGCTGTGGAGCCTTGCCTCCTCCGCTAGTTCTGATGGCAGTTCCCTGACAATATGGTTCACCATTAGTGGTCAGTGTATGAGTTCTGGGTTCCTGAATTGGTTTAAATTGAAAGAAAAAAAGGGAAACAGGAGAGAACAGAGAACATTCAACATTGCATAGCTGAATGCCTAGGCAGGAGCTCTTGCGGCTGTTGTGTTTAGATTAAGAGTGAGTTAGTCACTTTTCCTCTTTTGTCACCAATGAAACAATACAGAGTTAGTCTACTCTTGAAAATGGGAGTGGGGTTCAAACTGAAGAGAGTGATTTAGGTATAAATTAAAATTTAGACCAAATTTAGATTGAGGCAACAGCTGGTGGGGAGTGTGCAGGTGAAGATGTTGCTGTTTGTTTCACGGACAATTTGCTGGATCTTGACCAGAGAGCTCTGCATAAGGAAGTCAAGGAGGAGAATCATGGGGTCATGGACCCTCTTGGTAACGCTTCCTGTGGGATCATAATACCTGTTTTGAAATTAAGCAAGTAACTTCGGTTTTGAAATTCCATACATACCTCTATGTGATGAACCTCCACTATTTGGATGGAGACCAACACTCTTTTCTCTGCAATTTTTTTTCATCTAGTCATGCCTTTTAAAGCAATGACTAGGTTGTCTGAACTGGCCAGTCTTAAATGACAGCCTCAGAGCTTTAAGGGAAATTGGAGATGGAGTGGATTCCAGGATTGAGCCAAACAAAATCTATCCCAGATAAAAACCAAGCAATATGTCAGTTAATACCAGCCAACAGTGAAAACTATAGTAAGGGCTCACATCTAACTCTCTTCAGTTCCTCCTCTATCACAAGCATTCATTAACTTTGTTCTTCCTGAGGCTCTAATTAGCTTCTCTCTTCATTGCAGATGGTGATGAATTGGAAGGGAAGACCAAGGGGGACCACAACAGAATTCACATAGCAGAGAAGTCAGATAAATATACAAAGTGTGGAGAGAACATCTGCCAGAGCCCCCAGTCCACCTCACATCAAGGAAAGAGCTTTGTTCGGAGGGATAGAATCTCTTCACATGAAAGAACTAACAGCGGAGAGAAATTGTATCAGTGCAGAGAATGTGGGAAGAGCTTCACTCGGAAGAATGGTCTCACTTGCCATCAAAGAATTCATACAGGGGAGAAACCCTATCAGTGCTTGGAATGTGGAAATAACTTCAGTCGGAAAGAACAGCTCACTTCCCATCAAATAATTCATACAGGGGAGAAACCCTATGAGTGCTTAAAGTGTGGAAAGAGCTTCAATCGGAAAGATGGTCTCACTTCCCATCAAAGAATTCATACAGGGGAGAAACCCTTTCAATGCCTTGAGTGTGGAAAGAGCTTCCGTCACAGTTCCGGTCTCACTTCCCATCAAGGAATTCATAAAGGGGACAAACCCTATCAGTGCTTAGAATGCGGAAAGAGCTTTAATCGGAAGGATGGTCTCAGTATCCATCAAAGAATTCATACAGGGGAGAAACCTTTTCAATGCCTTGAGTGTGGGAAGAGCTTTCGTCACAGTTCCAGTCTCACTTCCCATCAAAGAATTCACACAGGGAAGAAACCCTATCAATGCTTAGAATGCGGAAAGAGCTTCAGTCAAAGTTGCAATCTAACTTCTCATCAAAGAGTCCATACACGGGAGAAACCCTATCAGTGCTTGAAATGTGGGAAGAGCTTCAGTCACAGAGAGATTCTCACTTGCCATCAAAGAATTCATACAGGGGAGAAACCCTATCAGTGCTTGGAATGTGGAAAGCGCTTTAGTCAAAGTGCACATCTCACTTCCCATCAAATAATTCATACAGGGAAGAAACCCTATCAGTGCTTAGAATGTGGAAAGAGCTTTCGTCAGAGGGTGCAGCTCACTTCCCATAACAGAATTCATACAGGGGAGAAACCCCATCAGTGCTTGGAATGTGGAAAGAGCTTTCGTCAGAGAGGTGATCTCACTTCCCATCAAAGAGTCCATACAGGCGAGAAACCATATCAGTGCTTGGAATGTGGAAAAAGCTTCACTAAGAGGATGCAGCTTACTTCCCATCACAGAATTCATACAGGGGAGAAACCATATCGATGCCTGGAATGTGGAAAGAGCTTCAGGTATATGCAGTGTCTTAGTTTGCATCAAAAACTTCATACGGGGGAGAAACCCTATCAGTGTTTTGAATGTGGAAAGAGCTTCAGCCAAGGGACCCATCTCACTTCCCATCAAAGAATTCATACAGGGGAGAAACCATATCAATGCTTAAAATGTGGGAAGAGCTTCAGTCTCAGGCACAGTCTCACTTTGCACCAAAGAATTCATACAGGAAGGAAACCCTATCAGTGCTTGGAATGTGGAAAGAGCTTTCGTCACTGTTCCACTCTCACTTTCCATCAAAGAATTCATAAAGGGGAGAAACCATATCAGTGTTTGGATTGTGGAAAGAGCTTCCGGGAGGGGGCCAAGCTCACTTCTCATCAAAGAATTCACACAGGGGAGAAACCTTTTCAATGCCATGAGTGTGGAAAGAGCTTTCGTCACAGTTCCACTCTCACTTTCCATCAAAGAATTCACACAGGGGAGAAACCTTTTCAATGCCATGAGTGTGGAAAGAGCTTTCGTCACAATTCCTATCGCACGATCCATCAAAGAACTCATACAGGTCAGAAACCATATCAGTGCTTTGAATGTGGGAAAAACTTCAGTCAAAGCACCCATCTCAAGACCCATCAAAGAATTCATACAGGGGAGAAACCATATCAGTGCTTGGAATGTGGAAAGAGCTTCATTCGGAAGGATGTTCTCACTTCCCATCAAAGAATTCATACAGAGGGAAAACCAAAAAAGAAAAATAATAACGCAAACATTATTGAACAACCGTTACAAAACACATTTGTATAGAAAAGAGAAAGGGCATGGGAAAATAACTAAAAATACCCTTAATCACATTTGTATCATATCATTTGTCAACACATAGAAAAGCAGGCTCCCCCAGCGCTCCCCTGGGTGCCCCCTCTTCTCCCTGTCTCCCAACCTGAGTGATCGTTCCACTGTAGCAATACTTACTCAGAATATGCACTCCTGGATAAACCCAGCTGTATTTAGTATCCAGCCTTTTCCCTCCCCTTTAGCAAGATGGCACTTTCCCTACATTCCGCCCTCCCCAGCCCAGCCTTCAAATCTTAACCACACAGATAGTGCAATATGACTTTTATTATGATTGTCTAATAACCCAAATTAGTATTTCTCCAGTTTCTAGATCCAGTTTCTATAAAGCCTTCTTAAAACTGTTCCAACAAATCTCAGTCAAGTCACAGTCCAAAATTATTGTCCTTTTTAATGTTCATCCAATCCTGCTTCCTCTTCTTTTACTAATCTTTCCTAATCCACTGGGGGTGGGGAAGAATGCATATTAAATCCCTTTCCTCATACGAGATCATAGCTTGTGTTATGAACAGTTTCAGGAGTTGCACTGCATCCCCTTTTGCTGGATGTACCTTTTTCTCTGCTGATAATTCCCAACGCATCCTTGTCTTTCCATGGAGCTCTTTCTCTCTCCTCCTGTTATTCCCTTACCTGCTCAACAGAACCTTCTGCCACTCCCAGCGACTCCTTTCCAACGACTCCCAGCTTATGACCCACACATTCACCTCAGTCTCTCTTTCTGGGACCCATCTTGGTCTTCAATGCCAAGGTACTCCATGTCTGGATGGAGAGCAGAGCTGCAGACGTTTGTTTGGAGTGGATGCATCTGGTTCTCCATAAAGCAGGAAGAGGCAAAGTTCATTGGCAAAAGAAGAACTTTCTACTAAAGGTTTTTCAGCTTTGTTACAGAACAAAGCTTCAGGGGACTTAGCAGATGTGAAAGTTAGAAAATGAAAGTAAGAAAGAGAAACCAGCCCACTCAGCTCATAGATTTATCTTTCTGGCTCTGTGTGACCTTGAGATAACAAAACGCAAATCATAACAAATCCAGCTGCCTCAGCAGAAAAGAACAAAACCTTCTGGAAGGAACCAGTGTTTCCCAGTGTTTTCCGGTTTCTCCTCTCAGGATTTTATGTGTGACATTTTCTCCCACTGCCAGAAAAGCATCTTTAGCTCCCTTTGGCCCAAGTTTCAAACTTTTTAGATTTGCACGGTGGTTAGCTTGTTGCAGGCTTGTTAAGCCTCTTTGAATATAGGATTTCTGGTAAGGTCCCTTCTACTCCCTCATAAAGACACGACACAATCTTGTTAAAGTCAATATAAAAGTAGTTTACTCACTCATTCAGTTCACAGATGCATCCCTGAAGGCAGCCTTAGGTTACAAAAGTGTCTAACTATATGAACTATCCCATAAGGGAGTTAGTCCCAAGTGACTGCAACTGAGCTGCCACTTCTCCTAACATATAGAAAGACAAAATGGAGAAAAAGCTCAGAACATGGAGGTCATGTGCTCCTCTACCCAGAATAGGCCACACCTACTTCAAGTCACATGTAGTGGAAGTCTCTCCCAGCTCAGGAGGAAACAGGAAGTTTTCTCCTGAGTAGTAGAAAACATCCCCAAACATGTCCACTGTAGGAACGTTGTACTTGACTGCTATAAGTTTCACATCCCACAGGAAGAGAGCCTGGGTGTCACCTGGTCCTGCCCCCTGCAAGTCAGGAATCTCGTCCAAGACAGATGGTCATCCAACCTCTGCTTTAAAAGCTCCATGGAAGGAGAGTCCAGCACCTACCAAGGGAGTCTGTTCCACTCTGGAAGAACTCTTCCTGTCCTAAAGTATTTCCTGAGGTTTGGCTGGAATCTCCTTTCTTGTAACTTGAAGCCATTGCTCCATCCTGAACACCTTGCTCCATCCTGCAGGTGACAGCCCTTTCATAACATGTATACGTTGTAGAAAATAACAATTCCATAAAAACTGCATTTGGATGATTCCGATTTCTTTTAAGCCTATGGCCTAGCTTAATTGAAAAGGCCTGTGCCTGCCTACATTTGATGGAACAGAACAAGCTGCTTTAGGTACTGTATGTAGCAAATGTCTGTTCCAGAACCCTGAAAAGAATAAAGTGGGAGTTGTGTGCATGAGAAGAGAATCAGCCAGGCATGGCAATTGTGATTCATCTTGAACTGTTTTGTAGATGGATGAAAGAGGACGTTGGAAGACATTTAGTGAATAGGAATATTAGCCAAAGTCTTAAAAAGAAAGACAAAAAAATTGTTATATGTCGTCACATGATATGATGAGGGCTTATCTGAAGAGCCAAATGATTTGGTTAGTTCAGGATGATGACATTGGGCTGCAACTATTAAGATTGCTGTGATCCTTAAAGATGATGGGTTTTTCGGAGCCAGCCAACCTAACCGGAAGAGTCCGCGACCAGAAGGAGGAGGCATATCAGGAAGAATGGACTAAATTTAACGATTATTTAGTTAAATATGTCAAGTTAGATGAATTGGAATCAGCTTGCAGATACTTAATCGACTTAGGATTTTATATAAGTTAAGTGATGAATTAATAGGTTGTAATTTCAAAATGAAAATATCTAAGGATGTTAATGTTCAAGTTAAACTTTATAAGAACTGTGATTTGGAAAACCCTTAAAAGGATATGCATTGAAATTCAACAAAGGGGAAGCGAGGAAGGCGCTTAACAATGTTAATAAGTGTAATTTTAATATGGTTATGATTTATGTTTGTTAGTTTTATATGTTTGTTTATAATTTTGTGAAAACCAATAAAAAATTTGAAGTAAAAAAAAGATTGCTGTGATCCTTTGATTGGTGAATAGGAATGATGTGCAATTTGCCATTCCATCCAAAAACACCTACCAATAAAATATAAATTACTTATGATCGGAGAAAGAGAGGCGGATTTGACCTACCTGGACCTGGAATTATATCATGCTGCAGCAGGTCTGACCTGCTTAAGGGAGTGGATTAAGTTAAAGGACACTGACTTGTTAGATCTGGAGGAAGTAGGAACTCAATTTGGATGACATGCATACCTAATAGATGGAAAGGAGAGAGTCCACATGGGTTTATAAGGAAATCATTGTATAAAATATGGATGGAATATAAAGGGATTCTAGAACCCAACAACACCTTGGTGGACGACCTCACCTTAGAAATCATGACTGTAAAGAGAAAGAATATGAATAACAACTGGGCAACCTATAAGGATTACTGGAAGAGGAAAATAATAAACGTAAATTGAAAGGATATTAAGGGAAGTTAAGAAATATTTGAACAATTGGCTGCAGTTCTTTCAAATTAATCAGAGATGACAAAAGAGGAAGAAAAAGGATTTGAGAAAGAAATTTCAAGATTGGATGAGTACTTACTCCAATCTAAAAGTAAACATATTTCCAAACTATATAGAATGGAGGTAAAGGAGGAGCAAGTGAAGACAGCGATGTAGGCCCAGGATTTAGGGGAAAATATGATGAGCCAACTACTGTGAGACAGGGATATTAAATTTACGGCATGCTACGATTTAAGAGAGAATGTAACGAAAATGCAATACAGATGGTACCTGACCCCGGTTAGACTGGCAAAAATGTATAAAAACTGTAGTGATGTTTGTTGGAGATACAACAACGGGGCGGGAACCTTTCTACACATGGGGTGGGAGTGCAAAGAGATAGTGGGATTCTGGGAAAATATTTACAACATGTTGAAAAAGTGAATAAGGAGTGGGCTATCTTTAAGGAAGCCATCAAAAGCTATGTGGAAAAAGTCTAACTTTTGACAGATATTGAGTGAATCCAGAACATGATTAGAGTGAAAGGAGAGTAAAGTTAAGATAGAAGAAGAGATTAAAGAAATAATGAAATGTGTTTAAGGCAATTGGAAAAATAAAGTAGTGTAACAAGAACGGCTGGAAGTCAAGTCAGTTTGTGGGTGTTCATGTGGGGTAGATGTGTTGGTATGTATAGTATAGGTAGGCATAATATAGAGTAATGTAGGTATGCTTTATGTTAGGAAAATAACGTATTGTGTATATGTACTGTGCAAATGTAAATGTATGTATTCTATATGTATGTGGTTCTTTGCAGGAACATTTGTATTTCAATAAAGGCCTATCTTTCCACCTGGAGACTCCCTCCTTTTTTGGGGGGGTTTCTGTGTGGATAACCTCCAGTCTGGGAACCTCTTTTTGAATTTCTACTACATATACATGACAGGATTTTTTTTAAAAAAATTGAAAGTGATTTATAATGAGATTGAATATAATTATTGGTAGAAACTATTTAAAACATTGGGACGCGGGTGGCGCTGTGGGTAAAAGCCTCAGCGCCTAGGGCTTGCCGATCGAAAGGTCGGCGGTTCGAATCCCCGCAGCGGGGTGCGCTCCCGTCGTTCGGTCCCAGCGCCTGCCAACCTAGCAGTTCGAAAGCACCCCCGGGTGCAAGTAGATAAATAGGGACCGCTTACAAGCGGGAAGGTAAACGGCGTTTCCGTGTGCGGCTCTGGCTCGCCAGAGCAGCGATGTCACGCTGGCCACGTGACCCGGAAGTGAGAGATTCACTCAGGTCTGTAGATAGTTTCACTCAGGTCCGCGTCTGTTATTTTAGGCGGGAACTCTGGGCTGTTGTGGTTACAATGTTGACAGCCGGCTGCCTATAAATACAAGGCCGGCTGAGCTGTTCGCAGTCAGTTCTATTCCAGCTTACCATAATAAAGAGCTACTTGAAGAAATCGCTGTGCCGGCTGCTATGTCAACCCACAACTTAACAAGGATCATATCCAAAGCCTCTTAATGAGGTTTCATGGAAAACCCGCCTCTCTACGAAGCGGGATGAGGGGTGGTTGGCAGGTGATTCCCCCTCCCCTCCCTGCAAACATAAATTCCCTTGCTCCCCAAAAAGCTCTATTTCCCCATTTGCTTTGTGAGAAGGTCCCAGGTCCAATCCCCGGCAGAGGCAACGAAAGAGACCCCCCTCTCAAAAAACTCATGTGAATGAAG